CCACGTACACAATATAATTAAATAGGCACTATCTTGTTTTGTTACAATGTATTTAATTGCATCAGTTAGACGATAATTAATGAATAGTATGCTATACTAATGATATAATCAAATTAATTAATTTGTGTCATTCAACAGAACATTTTAAAGTTCGGGTCAACCCGAGACCTGACCTGACCCGAACAGTTTCAGATCGGATCAGATCGGGTCTCAGGTTGACTGGATCGGGGTCATTCCCAACCCGAACTGAAATTTTCGGGTCAGGTCGGATTGATCTCAGACCCGACCTGACCCGAACAGAGCTTTATGATTGCACTCACTGATTTCTGATTAAACCAGTCTGAATAATGTATTATCAATATAAAAAAAATAAAATTTGATATATAGTGACTATTATGACACTATTCATTATTATAATATAGTTAAAAATAATATAATTCAAAGATATGTAATTTGTATTAAAAATTCTTTTTATAGAATTTATTTTATTAGTGTGATACAGTGCAGGGCACTTAAAGTTACCAATAAACTTAGTCATCTTTAAAGCAAAGGATCTTTATACAAAGATCATACAAAAAAATGAGGCTGCTATTTTGTAGTAAATAGATCTAGCTACAAAATAGCGACTCCCTTTTTTTGTATGAACTTTGTATAAAGATTCTTTGCTTTAAAGATGACTAATTTTATTGGCATCTTAAGTGTCCTGCACTGTACCACACTAATAAAATAAATTCAAAGATGGCATCTCAAAATAAATGGTAATATAATTATTAGTTTTATCACTAAATGACATGTTACGCCTACAACATATTAAAGAGTATTTTGTTATTTACACAACAATAGAAATTATAAGAGCCTTCTTTTTTATGCGTTCTGTCTCGTTTAATGTTAATGCATGTGTTATTTTTCGTGCATAAATTGATACATGTACAAACACAAACGGAAGTGAATGACGATTCTCGCACATAAATAAATCATCGCTTTTTTTAAAAAAATACACTGTCATAAACACAAAGATGGCATCTAAACTTTGAATGCTCACGATTGTAGTTAATGCCGACGTTGTCAACATAACTACTGCAAAGCGTTACAATTCATAATACTCATGATTGTAGTAATAACTGTTTCGATTGTAAATACCATAAGTACTACGATGAGTGTTCAGTTCACAATACTCATGATTGTAGTAAATGTACCAATTGTCATGAAAATGAGGATTGTTTTGGATGCAATAATTATCACAAACGAATTTATGTTGGATGGTCTAGTGGAAACAAAGAATCGACAGTCTAATAGAATTGCTGGTGAATTTAGTATATATAGATCTTTCGAACGGGTTCCTTTTGAAAGATTTACCAATGTTGAATATCTTGCAAAAGGTGAATAAATTTAAACAGAGGGAAAAACCGACATTGTGTTGAAATCATTATAGAATTCAAGCAAATTACACTGGTTTAGAAACGAGGTAAAATGGACACTTTAAGTGTAACTATTATGGAATAATTAACAAACAAGTTACAAACGAATGACTAATGCGAAAGATGGAGATTTACGCAAATATATAATTCCAACTACGTACGAAGCATTGAATAGGGGAGCGAAATTACTATAATCAGTACAATGGAAGTCAAAACCGGAATGTATCCCTACGAAGTCATGGTATGCACCTTGTATACGACATCTATAACGGAGTACGACCTACGATACCAAATAATGTTCCTAAATTATTCAAGTTAATTATTGAAAAATTTTGGGATCTTATTCCAGAAAATAGACCAGCTGCTGAGGAACTTGACAACTTTATCTTCTCTATCAAATATGGATATACGGACAAGCCGAGTACATGTACTTTGTATTTTCAGTACTATAGCTTTTTTGAATCTCCTAAACACTGAAGAAATTAAAGTGTGTCTTAAACTAGAAAAGCAGAAATGAAAAGAACTTGATAAGGAGATGAAATTAAAAAAGAGCATTCCTACGAATACAAGCAAAAAACAACAAATCCACTCCAATGCAGTTTACACCAGTCGAATCTTTACCACAAAAGTAATTTCAATTTCAACTGAGACAGGTATTTTTATTTGAAATATAAATCATATTAGCATCGCAGTTAATTAAAAATTGCATCGAATATTTAGGCTCTACAAGTGTTAGTTTGTATGTTCCAAATGATTTCGATTTCAGCCAACATACCACACGAAATCAAAGAGAATGAAGAGATACTCCATAAATTTTGTGATTAAAATTTCTATATCTGCTGGTTTTCTGAGTCCAAATCAGCGATTTGATACCAAAAATTCATTATTAATATATTTCCAAGATGAAAGTCACGATGCACAAATTTCATAATGTGAATTTTATTCAACCCTTCAATAATATTAATGAAATATCCTAATTTTTGTTCCCAATCCATTCATATTTGGAATTCAAGTATTCATTTTTTAGTTATTCCATAATAACTAATAAAGTCTTAGAGCAGTCTGAATTGAATTTTGAAAAAGTTAATTAGATTGAAAAACAAAAAAAAAATATGCTTACGCTTTAAAAGGCGTCCATTTTACCTCGTCTATAAACCCTGATGCAATTCGCTTTGATTTGTGTAATGATTTCAACACAACTTTGTTCAAATTCATTTTCTTCATGATCAATGGTCTGTCAACCAGGATGCTTTGTAAATTGATCCAAAACCTCCCTTTACAAGATATTTAACCTTGGTAAATCTTTCAAAAGGAATCCATTATTATCATTATTAATGTTATCGCATTCATTTATTAGACTTTCGATATATCTATTTCCAATAGACTATTCAACATAAATTCGTTTGTAATATTTCTATTACATCCAACCTAGGACTTGTTTTCTTGACATTTGGCATATTTGCTACAATCATGAGTATTCGAAGTTTTAGATGCCATCTTTGAGTTTATTAGCAGTGTTTTATTTAAAAACGATGTATTTATGTCATTTGTGTTTGTATCGATTTATGTGTGAAAAATGACACTACCGCTATGCTCACATGCATTAAACGATTAGATAAACATGAAAAACGAGACCGAACGCATGAAAGAAGGCTTTATATACATGTATATATAACTTTTATTGTTGTGTATACATAGATAATAAAATATGTATTCTTAGAAATTCAATATCGATATCACGTACGTAAACGCCTACAATTAAACCTATCAAACATCACATTTCCGATCATGCCCAATAAAGAAATATACATGTTCTGCAAGGATCATCAAGATCCTAGGGGATAGGTCCCAGCGCCGGCATAAACCGACTCTTGATTTTGGTTGGGATGTAACAGGGTGAGATAACGAAGTAGTATATTGCGAGCACCGTTGATATCCCGATCAAGCTCAGTTGTATAACTGGGGCAATGAAACACTTTGGATCCATCCAGTTTTTGATGGATATGGCCACAGCACCCACATGCCTTACTAGTATATTCTTCAATGCATACCATTACCTGACACCACGGATGCTCACGAACCTTATGTAAAAGATATTGGCAGATCAGAAGTGCGATTTTTTTATATATACGAAGCATGACTCTGCGAAGCTTGTATCTTTTCATTTGTGTACTTTTCCATGAATAGAGTCATGTTTGCTTTGGATTTTGTCATATATCTGTGAAAGCTGATAAATTCTACTGATATCATTTTTTCTCCATTCAATAGCTATTCCACTTGGATCATAGCCAGTCATGAATGTACGCACGCCTGGATCCAGAGCAATCACCCCTGATCCTTCCTATTAAATTATTAATTAAATGAATAAATAATTATATTAAAGTTTTAATTTCTTTTTATTCTTTAAATATTGTTGTATACTGATATAAAATATAAAGTTCTTTTTATTATTAATATAGGAAAAAAAAGCATTTGTATAGATGATATAAATAATATAATTACAAATAAATAAAAACCTTTTCTTGCACTCCTAAAAATAAAGCACCTTGGTTTTCGGTCCATATTTCAAGTGGTAAAATTCACCAAGGCGATTTACAACAAGATGACTATCATATTCAAGTTGATTTGGAAGAGGTTCTGCTGACTTGATTTTATGAAGAAATGCGTATTCACCACGAGACTTGCCTCAGTGTTTAGAAAGTATTGTAATTGATTGTTGTGAATCCTTTTTAGAATGGAACTTCATCTTGTATATCATAAGGCGTTTCTATAACCCACTTAAGTTTTGTATCATTCTTAAAGTTCACAGCGTTGAGACATTGTGCTCGCAAATTCTTTTTTTTTGATTGACACCTTCTTTTTGACTGCGATAAGGCATTGATTGTACGTCCAGCGTGCTGTCCCTATCCATTATCTGAATTTCAACCGCTCTTCTTGTGTAGGAAAGAGACGGATACGTTGTGTCTTGCCTGCTGGGTTCTTGGAACTCTTGATCTTCTTGAGCTTGGGCAGCTTCTCGTCTTCTTCTGCGGTTGGCGGCTGAGCGTATTCCGTTATGTCTTGCCACAAATACCGTAACGATTGAGAGCAAGTCTCCGACTTCATTATTCTCGGCACTAACATCTGTACCGAGTATCATGAGCCGAGTCCCATTCTTCTCAAAGATCCATTCCACAAGCTCGGATCCGAAACGACACAATCGGTCCTAATAAAAAAGTTCGTAACATAATAAAAGCAATAAAATAAAAACTAATAAAAATTTAACTCAACCTTTTGGGTAACCACCACTTTCTCGATTCTTTCTGCGTGTATTCGTTCCAGAAGGGCAACAAATCCCCTGCGTTTCCAGTTGAGTCCTGAGTCGATATAGTTAACAATTTCATATTCTGGGTAGTGTTGTCGGAGATTTTCGATTGGTCGTTCAAGGTCGTCTCGTTGATGTTCTGGACTGACTCTGGCATAGCAGATCTTGGCCTTTTGCGTGAACTGTGTCTGTTGGTTGTCTCCAAAGATTCTATGTATGTCTATAATTGAATAGAGTCGTTTTCTACCAGGTGTCCTGACGATGGCAATCCTTCCGGAGGCAGCCATCGTCACAATGTTTCAACTGAGACGTCATACGTCTCTTGGATTTTGCTTGCACTTTGGTAAGTAGTCTTGTTCTGAGCCAGGTTGTAAAAAGGTGGTTTTGTTAAAAAAGGTGATTTTTGTTTAGAAATGTGAGCTACTCAGAACTGTTTTTATTTAAAATTACTTTTCCTTATACTTGAATCATCAAGTAGATTAATAACGGTAATACTAAAAATGTGGAATGTTCGAAATCGTCGCAACGGTACGTAATTTCATAATACGTACATCTATTATGATTATGAACCAATCAATTGCTGTAATCTTATTTAATTCCCGTTTTTACTCTTCCTCATTTCATGCGTACGTACGTCGTATGCATAAATCGTTTTACAAACACATGAACGACGATGACTTCCACCACCACATATAAATCTTCGTTTTTAAATGAAACACTGCATCATCACTATTCAACTCAAAGATGGCATCTAAAACTCATGATTGTCGTGGATGCGATTGGTGTCAACAAAAATACGGCGATGAGTGTTCAGTTCACAATACTCATGATTGTAGTAAATGTACCAAATGTCAAGAAAATGAGTACTGTGAAGGATGTTTTCGATATCACAAACGAATTATTGTTGAATGGTCTAGTGGAAATAAAGATATCGACAGTCTAATAAATGAATGTAACTGGTGAATATGATAAATATGGTAAATATAACTATAAACATTTCGAATGGATCCCTTTTGAAAGATTTACCAATGTTGAATGTCTTGCAAAAGGAGGTTTTGGTTCAGTTTATAAAGCAATCTGGTTGGATGGACCAAATTTAAATAGAAGTATAATATCTGGGAGATGGGATCATGTAAATAATAGATTTAAACGAGAGGGAGAATGCGAAGTTGTGTTGAAATCATTACACAATTCAAAGCAAATTACATCCGAGTTTATAAACGAGGTAAAATGAGCACCTTTTAAGTGTAAGCATATTACTTGTTTGTTTTTCAATCAAATTAGATTCTGACTGCTCTAAAGTGCACTGTTTTCGATGTAATAGAATATTATGGAATAACTAAAAACCCAGCTACAAATGAATACTTGATAGTGATGACTTATGCAGAATATGGCGGTCTACGCAAGTATATGAATTCTAATCACCAAAATTGAATTGGGATCAAAAATTAAGCTATTTATCGAATATTATTAAAAGATTGAATAAAATTCACGAAGAGGAATTTGTGCATTGTGACGCTCACCTTGGAAATATATTAATACAGCTTGATGAGGTTCAAATGGCTGATTTTGGACTTATCAAACCAGCAAATATAAGAAAACATGAACAAACAATTTGCGGAGTACTTCCTTATATGAGTCCAGAGGTACTAAATGGAAAACCATACACGAAAGCTGCAGATATTTATGAGTACGACCTACGATACCAAATAATGTTCCTAGATTATTCAAGTTTATTATTGAAAAATGTTGGGATCCTATTCCAGAAAACAGACCAACTGCTGAAGAACTTCTCGAATTTATCGACTTTTTCTACGGATATAATAGAGCGAATACTTTGCATTTTCAGTACTACAGCTCTTTAGATTCTCCTAAAACACATAAATTAAATATTGTTTTAAGCCAGAAAAAAAGAAAGTACGTATATAGAGTTAAGGAGTGTTTCAAACTAGAAATACAAAAATTATATGACTTTGATAAGGAGATGAAATTAAAAAAGAGCATTCCTAAAAGTACGAACGAAAAACAAATCCACTCAAATGCAGTTTACACCAGTCGAATGTTTACTTCAAACTTGATTCCAATTCTAAGAAAAATAGGTAATTTTATTATTTCTAAATATAATTCATAGTAACTTTTCATATTAATTAAATTTATATTGAATGTTTAGGGTTATTCCAAACGAAGGTAAATTATATTGAATATTGTTTTTTTATTAGCTCACTAATTTAATATCTTTTTTCTTTGGTGTTGTAAAACAGATTTCGATTTAATGTTAACGTTTCATACTGCTATCACTTTCAACAAAAATTTCGTAATTTTTATATTATCGTTATCGTTATGGTGTACCATAATTTAATAATTTTGCTATTGGTACATCTTATATTTTATCCCCAACAAAAACATTCTTAATTCTATTTCATTATATTAATTTCACTTTTATTCTCATTATTATTTTCTCTCGTGATTTATTTTGTGTTATTAGATTTTTCTTTAGAATCTTTCTTTTTACTGCGACTTTGATTTTTCTTGTTTCCCACTACTAATATTCTTGTAAATTTTCTCTTGTATTTTCATTTCTATTATGTTTAATGTTTCATTTATTTTTGATCTTTATTCTCCTTTAGTATTGTTAGGTAAGTTTAACGTTAGGGTTAGGGTTGGGAAGGAGACCAAGATTATGTTCAAAATTGCCTTCCCGACATTTTAATTAGTGCTCCAAGAAAGATTTAAGCACCTGTTTTCCGTATTTTTTCATTTGTTTTGCCGGGTTAATTAGAAATTTACTCATCCTCATTGGTTTGTTTTTCGGACAGATTATCGGATGGACTACGTTTTAATGTTAACCGATCCCGTAATTTAGTAGAACAGCATTTATTTGATTTTATTATCAGTATAGTTAATGATCTCTAAAAATATGTAATATCAGTGAAAATACACGACTTTATCGAGTTACTCGATCAATCTGTTTCTAAAATCACTTTTATTATTAGTCAGTATTCTTATTCCCCGCTTGAATAATATTTAACACTCAAACTTTTGTTGGTCCAAATCCTCCGAACCTTTTTTAAACAATAATTTAGCAACGCATTATTCAACAATAACATATTCAAAAATAATCATAACACTAATTTACCCCCATCAACTTTGCCATTTCCGGATCCAATCTTTATTATTTTATTTTTAGATAATTGTTATTTCAAAATTTATATTTTCAAAATGTATAAATAGAGATAGTTTCTCATTTTGTATCAATAAGTTGGAAATAAATAAAGTATTTCATAGTATACTTCAGTTTTGATAATTGTACCTAAATAATTTTGTTATTTATTGTTTGTTTTGTATTATTTTGTATTGTTTTACCTTGTTATAACTTAGTTTTATGATTTTATTTCATTATAATATTATAGAAATGACTAAAAAATGATAATATGAGTATAGAAATATCAATATTATTCTTTTTTTATAATACCCCTCTTGAACACTTATTTACCTGAATTTGCTTTTTATAATTTCTTTATTTCTTTCATACATTTTATTTTTATAATTATTTCCTTAGTTATTTAATCCTTTTAGTTTTTCACTCTATATCAGTAGATATAGGCACAAAACTTGGATATATTTATCTAATTTTCTCTCCCAACTCTTGTTCACATTTATTAACTAATTTTACAATTAATCCAAAAACTGTATGGCACATGGTTTATTAACCTTAGCTTTAATAATTGATTCTTTTAATGTCGCTACTTACCAGTAGAAAGCGGCGGAACGAGTATACTCGGTTTCAATATGATGTAATTAGTACTCTTCGTAGATTACTCAACAAAATATGAAATTATGGACATTGTAATACACTTAAAAATATTTTATCATTAAACAATTTCATTCCATAAGATACAAGAATAATCTGAAAACTAACGAACGCGCTACTCTAAATTTATGCGTTGTGAAACTCATTCAATTTACTCCCCCATCAAAAAAATAACTCACCTCTCAACAATGCCAACTACGTATTGGTCCAACCTTGCTAAAATAATTTGTTCTGATGAATGTGCAGTGGCCTGTAAAGGCGATGATAATAACATTTTAATACTTACTTCTAAGAGTTTCCAACGGATTATCTGGTATATTAGTGAAAGATAAACTCGCCACTTGCCTAGGTAACAATGAACTTATCGACATTTTTCAAATTCACAAAACTTAAATACAATGAAGATTCTCCAAACCAAGAACTTGTCGCCCAAAACTAAGAATACTTCGTTAGTATACTAATCTGTGGTTTATTCATCGTACGATTGAGTCCGAATCGTTATATTACCCGTGCCGCTACGTAGATAGTCCCGTGAATTGTCCGTGATCCCAAGTCCCGCGACTCGTCCATGCAACATTATGTGCATCACGATTTTTGTCATGCAAAGGTTGACATACAAAAGATTAAGTTAATTGAATCAGAAAGTCGAAATAAGCCAACTTTAGAATGTGAAATTTTCAATCAAAAGTAGAAATAAGCAAATTTTCCGGGTCATCCAAAACTCGAGATCTAAAAATCATATGTTGAACAAGAAGAAATATTCAGTGAACAAAACTATAGCGCACAGAAGATTTACTATGAGTGAATAACGCTCAGTGCATATACAGCAAGGTGCATAGGAGATCTCACCTATGGATAAAGCTCTGCCGCACACAGAAGATTTCACTGAGCTGGCACACAGGAGATCTCATCTATGGATAAAGCTTTGTACTCACCTTACTGCAAAAAATTACAAATCCATAAAGATGCAGAACGTAGGAATAGAACGAGAAGGGCGTAGAGTAGAGCGAGCGGGCATAGTGATAGTATAATAGAGCGAGAAGGGGGAAAGTATCAATTTTTTTATAATATTTTTGATTCAGATCACGCAACAAGATAAAAACTGCTAGAATCTATAAGAACTTCTCGTAATTGATTACGTTTATTCCGTGGGAATGTGGACGTAATGTTTTAGTCAGAAAAATTGTAAGAATACTTGGTCCGTTGCACAACAGCAACGCATGATTGTATTACGATGAGGCGAAAATCATTGTCGTCATGTTGAACAACTTTGGAAGGAAAATCACTTTAATTTGCGTACAAGTAATACTCAGTTTGCTGCCTTTGGCAAATTTGCCGAGTCTATTCAGAGGTACTAAATAAAGGCCATCAATAAAGCTGCAGATATTATAAGAACCTTAGTGTTTGCACTTCTAATTTAGACATTCAATAATTTCTCCATATGTTTTAGGTTAGCATCTTTCGCCAACTGCCTAGTCCGGAACCGACGAAACTATTTTCCAAAAATCCGAAACTTCCGAAAGTACCAAAATCAAGATCGCGTGGCGAAATCCGAAAACCATTCCGAAACCATTCTATAAAATTAATAGTGCGACAAGAAAGGTGTTAGAACCATCGGAAGCACAAGTAAGTTAAATACCGCGGAACGTTTCGGAAACAGAGATTGGGATTCGCCCACATTAGTTTTATGATATTCTAAAAGTTATAAAGGAGTATACCAAATAATGGTACTATTGAAAAATATTGGAATTCTATTTCAGAAAACAAAGAGAAATTTTTCAAAAATAGCATTGTTGTACATGTACTACAATACAAAATACCTGTATTGAATAGTTTAGTATTATTGATAGAACATTTTTGATAGGCTTGATGATACTGGATCTTGCACGAACATTGATAGGATTTGTAGCAAAAAATAAGTTAATTTAAGAATAAATGAAATTAAACATGTAAATGAACTATTACATACCTATATTCACAGAGGCTCTCACGTCCTCACAAATGGTTTGATTTTCGCTAAGGCGAGGTTTTTTGATGGGTGGTTCACAAACATCTTTCTGAACATTATTATTGAGGAAGCTGGAATTACCCAGACGGAGTTTTCCTTAAACGGGGGTTTTTTGGTGGGTGGATCACAAGTGTTTTTCTGAACATTCTTATCGAAACTAGGATTGTCCAGACGGAGTTTTTCAGTGAGTAGTTCACGAAGACCTTCTTCAAACAGGGTTTTTAGTCGGTGGTTCACGAAAATCTTCCTTAGTCTTCTTTTTAAAAGAATGCTGAGATAAAGTTCCCATTTGAGCGATCCTATTAAGAATGTGTACAGAATGAAAAGCTTTCACTTACTTTTTAGGTTCATTGATTGTTTGAAGACACCGACTATTCAAATCGTGGCAAGCCTCGAAATTTATGGTTTTTGGCTCACCATTTTTTCTTTATACGTCCTCAACACACTTTCAACCCCTTCATACTCCAAGTCTTAAACTAACAATAAGAAATTCATATTTCTTTTGAAAGAGTGGCACCTCATCATATAACGTTTTCTCACTACTAGTTACGAGACGTTGATTATCGGTTGGAATGAAGATGTGCGACACAATAACACTTTTTAAGTCGTGGACGGTAACTGGTGTACTCGGATTAAATAGTATACAGCGGAGAAAGGCCGCCGAATAGGTTTACTATAACTTAACGGTTGGTGATTGCTTCCATGTTTTTGTAATTAAATTGTTTTGTGTTAAGAAAAAATTATTTATTTTGATTATTTTGAATTTTTCTGTTTGAGAGTTAAAATTTTTGGGATGTGTTGAATATCGTTATTTTTAAATTATACTATCACAGATAGGGAAATTGATAAACTAAGTTACGCTCATTTTTTTCATATTGCCGCTACTGAAGACGATAATATCGATAATATAGCATAGTTACATTATCACAGATATTATAAGCATTCTTAAAGGACAATCTCTGAGATTTTAATTATCTACTTTACTACAAAAATAATACTACATGTTCCAACAAACTGTAAAGCAGGACGTTCATGTTTAGTTTATTGGAACAGGAAAAAACTATTGTATAATTTTTATAAAGATCTGATTATTCACTAAATGCGCATTTGAGGAGTTAACGACAATATGAGTAATTTGCCAAGCAAGAAACAACTAGCCTTTGACAACTTATTAAAAAAAATGGGTTGTGTTCCTTGGAAATCATGTGTCACTAACAGGAATGATTACATCATGATAACGATAACACAAATGTATAATATAGTCAATGTTTAAGAACATTAATAATAAATGTATATTAATGTTTATATTAAACCGTGTATATAGAGTTTTGTCCCATAGGAAATCGAATCCTCAAACAAAATATGGTTCAAGTAATCTATACTCAACAATTTGTTTCAATTTTTAAATCATTCAACTCAATATAAAGACAAAATTTTCAAAATTTGACCAGTACTTTGTTCTTTATGATAAGCTCTATAAAGTTATCAGTCAAAATTTAAAAATTTTGTCTCTACATTGAGTTGAAAGTTTAAAAATTGAAACAAATTGTTGAGTATAGATTACTTGAACCATACTACATTTGATTTTGTTCGGTAACTTGTTCGACATGTTCAATGACAACAAATTATAGGAAATATACGTATACATGTATATAAACTGATGATGATTCTATGATGAAACATTGTTTAATAAAAATTTACTCCAATCGATGATCTAATTAATACCCATGGGCAATAAAAATAATTTTTATATATGTTCTAAAATGATTTATATAACGATAAGAATAATATGATAGTAATCAACTGTTAATGCATTTTTTTTCTCTCAACACACGCAAAATCTAATTTACTTTTTCATACACAAAGCCAAAATACCAAAATACGCTGCTCTCAGTATAATAAACAAATCATCATTGTCGATTATCTTGATCAAATTTATGTAGTTTTTTTCCATGATATTCTTTAACATTCTATCAGATCATCATTGAATCATAATTACGTTATCGTATAAAAATTTAAATTACATTATTAATACAAGATACTTTTAGAATACAATTATTTATATAAACTATTTAGTCAAAAACAATATAAAAGAAACTCGCACACCAACGAAAAATGTATAAATATCTTTTCAATTATCTTTTTTCTTTTTACAAAACGTAATAATTCTATGTTCCAATTTTCTATATTCATTCCTTTCATTGACTTCATCGTATATATTTCATTAAAACATAAGGGACTCCGCGATAGTTGGAACAGTGTATCTGAACTTTTTGTATATAGCATTAATTCTTTAGTTTCACCCGCACGCTCTCACTCACACTTGCACGCTCTCACTCACACTCGCACGCTCTCGCTCACACCCGCACGCTCTCACTCACACTCGCACGCTCTCACTCACACCCGCACGCTCTCACTCACACCCGCACGCTCTCACTCACACCCGCACGCTCTCACTCACACTCGCACGCTCTCACACTCACACGCACACTCACTCTCACACGCTCTTACTCACTCTCACTCATTCACTCTCTCTATACAAACTCGTTTACACATTATTGGTAAGTGTACACATTTACTAAGTATGATATCATGGTCACGCTCCTTGAAGTCTTGGTTAGAATATCCTCAATTGTAATCTGAATCATT